CCTTCCGCATAGCCCTTAAAACCTGGCTGTTCCGACAGGCCTGGGGCTAAAGACTTACAGGTCAACAATGGTATGATTGTTGTGTTTTTAGCTGTGTATGGTCTCTATGTTCTGTAACTCGTTTGTTTTCCCCCCCCTTTGAATTGTGAGCCGCCCTGAGTCCCTTCAGGGAAAAGGGCGGCATACAAATAAAGTAAATTCAAATTCAAATTTATTTTATTTTAGTGTGCTGTGGTGGTGCAGTGGTTACAATGCAGCATTGCAGTCTAACTCTGCCTACTGCCAGGAGTTCAATCTTGATCGGCTCAAGGTTGACTCAGCCTTCCATCTTACCGAGGATATAAAATGATTGCTGGGGGGCAATATGCTTATTCTGTGAAGCACTCAGAGAGTGCTGTAAGGCAATATGAAATAGTATGTTAGTCTAAGTGCTATTATTATTGTTATTTATTGTAATTTCACTTTTGATGAACCACCTGAGAAGGTTTAACATGGTGAATAAACATATTGCATTCATTTGCAAGCATTTATTACTTTCCTGTTACATCGCTGTATGAAAGCATACTGGTGAATAATCTAAAAAGCATAATTCAAGCTTAGTGTATTAAATTTTCTAGTAAATCTAACAGGAGAGGGCTAATAAATTCTTCTGCTAAGCACAAAGGACTCAAAATTGCATTTGGGAGCAGTGCAAGACCTTTTAATAACAGCTTTTCAAAATGCTTATCATTTATTTTTTTACTCTTTTGACTTAACCCCTTCAGTAGATGTTATTTAAAGGCACATAATGCTCTTCACATTGGCCCTTACTCTGAAAAGAGGAAGCTCGCCAATTTTGGAGAGAGGTAATAAATTGCACGATTGTTATTTCCTCAAGCCTATGGTAGAGAGCAAAGTGTCACCCAAACCAAAAATAAAAAAGGATTTTGCAACTTCCAATGCCATTCAAATCAGAACAGAATTAGGATTGTGGAGAAAAATTGTTGGTCTGGGTTATAGTACTATGTTGCTAGAACATGTTTTGAAAGCAGCAATATTTTACCAAGATTTTACCTTCCCAAAGGTATTCAGACAATAAGAAGGGCCTTTGACAGCTTGGTGACATGCTGAGATAGCTGGGGGTTACGATACTAAGCTTTTATCTTATAGATTAGCATGCCATTAAAAATGTATTAGAAATCCTAGGTATACAGAGACCTATAAAACTATCATAAAGATGTTAACAATTAATGATTTGATCCTAAAATGTAATTTATGAACTAGAATGCAAGACTATGTATCATAATCAAGGGAACATGCATATAAATATTAAAAACGTTTTATAGCTGAAAGCAGGAGTTCCTTCCCGTTCTGCTGATAACAAAGAGGAAGTCTGTTCACATAGGAGAATATTGCTAAGGAATCTTTAATAAATAAATAAGAAAACAAATATTGGTCAGAAACACACCCACTCTTATTTTCTTGCTGGCAAAGAAAAGGTAAACAGAAATGCCTAACAAATTATAGTTAAATAGTTTTATCTACTCTACTCAACAATGTCACATTCTGGTATTAATTTTTGATTGCTTGTGGGTTTTTTTTTTAGAAATGAGGTGAATTCAGCTTCCTCCGATTATGGATTTTCCTAGATATGAGAGGCAGGCAACACACTCAAACAAGTTACATTGATCTCTTTTCTTAATTATCGTATCTATACAAGAGCTGTAACTTCTGCAAGGAAGTTACCAGTATGTTTCTTTTGAAAACTAGCATTAAGGGACTCTGTGGAGCATTTGGTATGCTTCATCTCGGTATATTTCAGTGAGCAATTTCTGAAAGATTAGGGCTGTATGTAAAATAATAAATGGGATTTTTCAATGCAGAATAAAGGAGAATATTTGAAGCTCAGGGTTGAATGGAGGGGTTCTTGGTGCTCTGCTGATTTTTTTTTTTTGCAGAAATCTCATTACCCAACCTAAATAATATCATCAATGCTAATGACTTTCACTAAGATGCTTATGGAGATTCTCAGTCATCTGTCCCAATTTTTCAAAAGGCAACTGGACGTTGTTTTATCTTGAAGATTTTCACTTCTTATCCAAGAAGCTTCTTCAGCTGAAGACGTTGAAGCTTCTTGGATGAAAAGTGAAGGGTCTTCAAGGAAAAACAAAGTCTAGTTGCCTTTTGAAAAAGCATCTTTGGGATAGCACTGATGGGGTTACCTAGTTTGGGTAATGAAACAGCTGCAAGAATACAAGCTAAGAGAACACCAAGGATCCCTCATTCACAGAACACTTTAACCACATGCAGCCTTCTAACTTATTCCACAATATTCATGTTTTTGGTGATATAATCTTTTACACCCTTCTGTCATACTCTTGTGTCCCTTATTGATTTTTTTTTTAAATGGAGAGACTATTAAGCCAGTAGCAAACATCATAGCTTCTCTGGATAAGAGAGAGGTACAAAATATCAAAACATTTCTAGGTAATGCCGATATAGACAGCGAAAGCACTTTTGAAAAGAATTTGCAAATAAGTGCTTGCATCTTCTGTTCTTGCTCTCTTTCTCAACCTTCTAAAAATTTTTTTGCTCCTAAATAAGAAGCAAACATGTCTTGGATATGTTTGTGTGTGTGTGTGACTGACCTTGTAAGGTGCATTTGCAAAAGGGTACAAAATATAAAATCACTTGAGAATTGTTTTCTATTTCCTACCCAATCTCCATTTATTGCATTATCATTATTTTGGGAAATGCAGATTTCAAAACATAATATTTGATGCAATGACTTTTACATCTGCCCTGATATTATCTGTCGATTCCAGTCTAGATTGCTGTAGTTCAAGGGGTCTGAACAGCTGTAAAGTTGGGTTTAATTAGCATAATTAAATTATTGTGGAATGAAAAGTTTATGAATCGCAATCTCTGTGGGCGAAGCGGCTCACAAGTTCTACATCTGTCCATAAGAAAATAGTGAGCTTCTAATGAGAAAATTAGCTGATTTGCAGACTTTTTAGCTTGAGAACTTATGAGCTGAACCAATGCTGATGACTTTTTGAAATGCAACTACTAATATGATTATAAATGTTTATAAATTATAAATAAATAATAATCACTAACTCCTTTTTCAGACAACAAATATTTTGCATTATCTCAGAATTAAAGCAACTCCAAAAAAATAATGAAATCACTGCAGATAAAATTCAAGTTACTCATTTGTTGACTAAAGACTGAAATTATTAATAATTAAATTGAAGTTCTACATCATTGAAAATATACGAACATTAAAACCATTAAACCGCATAGTATTAAATGTTAGAAATAAGATCAATTGTTATCAGTGGGAGGTTCCCAATATTGTGTTTTTAACTGGACTATTAAATATCAATGAGGAGAAGAAATGAAGAATAAGACAGTATCATAACTGGAGTCATATATAAATACAAATATTTAGCAGGATAATTTTCTCCTCCATCATTGATATTTGAATTCTTACAAACTAATGAAAATGACATACAGCATTATTTTCAATGATTTAACCTAACAGAGGGTAGAACCACGTTGACTGGTGAATTTGTAGTTACAAAAAAATGACAAAAGTGAATTCCATCAATATTCACTGTTAAAAATACTAAAATAGTCTTCATTAGGCAAATATTTGTCAGAAAAGTTTCAAAACTTTTTGACAGCAACATTTATTGTGTGTGTATGTATGTGTGTGTGTGTGTTTATGGAAGCAGTGAACTTCCTCCCATATTTGGGCATACCAAATATATATATATGTGTGTGTGTGTGTGTGTGTGTGTGTGTGTGTGTGTATAATATTCTGAACACAATAATATGACAAGATGTAGCTTATATTTTATGGAGCATTATAATATACCTCAATAATTTCATAAAAACTGAAAACTATTTCTATTGGATGAGTAATAAGGGTTTTTTTAAAAAAGAAAATCAAGATCTCTTTCTACGAATGCTAAATCTTTGCTTAGTTAATTATTAGCCCAGCTGCATAATCCCTTCATACAAGGAATTCCACTGATAAACAAGAATGATCCCTGAGAGGGGGAAAAAAATGTCCAATATTCTGTACAGTATTTATAACTCTTGGATGTGCCTAAAATGATTTCATTTTAGAAATCACTACAGTATCAATTCCCCCGCCCCCAATATTTATTTTGCTCTGATTGAATTTTGTTTGCCTAACGAAATCAGTGTTATTTGTTCTAAGTATTTATGGTTAATTCTGGATAGTGTGCATTCTTTGAAAATTATACTGTACAATACATTGTACAATGTAATTGTACAATTATGCATATTGTTCTAATGCTTACATCTGAAATGAGCCTCGAAGTACCCTAAATGGGGAAAGGGAGCCTTCAAAGCTTTTTGAGATAAAGTTGTAGCAGTGAATCATAAGCTTCCATTATTTTTGGTCCATCCTAAGCAATCATTCTTTGAAATAACATCTCAAATGACAGCAGTTTAAATAATGCACATAGAAGGACTTATATTTAATACTTATGTTATTTTATACTTATGCAGTAACAATTGCAGACCTTACCTTCCAACTTCATCCCAACGCTTAGGCATTTTTGAAAGCGACAATAAGGACAGCGTTTTCTTTGAGTTTTGTCAATTTGGCAGCTTTGATTTTCTATACATGTGTACCTTTTATTGTTCTGGACTGTTCGCTTAAAGAAGCCCTGTAAAAATAGATGGAACGTATTTACGAATTGGGAACAAATGGCTTGAACCAGGAATTGACTTCAGATCATGAAAACTTTCACCCAGTCCTCCCTTCTACTGTCATCCTGCTAATTCAGCATTTATGAAATGGCTGGTTGGGTTCCAGATTTCCTTGGAGGAAACCCACCAGGCCACAGGCACAGGCTAGTTTGCGCTGGTGTTGATTTACACCAGAATCTGGCAAGGCATCTTTATTATTTCCCTAGTCATCATCTCTACCAGTAGCAACTTAAATGAATTAAAATTCAAATTATCCCAAATTTTTAAAAGTGTCCTTTCAAAATCACCTAATGTCAAATTTTAAGACAAATCTTCCTTAAGGTGTTAAAAAAAAAACCCACAACCCTTGCCGATTTTTATTTATTTTTTTAGATTTCACTCATATGAATCCTAACTCAGTTCTAAATCCCAAATGAAAGTAAATCTCCCCAATCTACCGCTTGTTGCTCTGAATTACTCCTGCCTCTGCTAATATACTATTCTTCACTTTATCATCCATCATTAATTCTCTGATGTTTAAAACTGAATTTTAAGCTGCCTATCGAGAGTCTCAACTGTAAGCTGAATTCTAAACTCTTTGAGATTTTGAAAAAGTTATTTGCAAGACTATCCTTCTCCCTTCCCCCAACACTAATTACAGCTGCATAAATTACGTCTGGTGGCCATGTTGATTAAAATTATGTATTCAATGACAGATATTCTGGTTCTCATGTCTCTTTATCGTCTGGGAATAGTGGATGATAAGCATAACATGGGGGTGGTATTATAGTGTGATTAACTTTTGATACAGCATGAATACTTACTTGCTCAAAAGTTTCCTTAACCAAATGTGTGGCATGTAACTTAAGGAGATACAGGTTCCAACTGAGTAAATATTTCTATACAGCCCTAAAATTATACATGTGTTACTCCAGAAAGCCGTGCTAAAATGTTGTTGTTTTAGTACTACAAAGTAAACAATTTGATCGGTTTCTATACTAATCCAGAATTATTTTACACAATTGCAAGGCAATCTAAGGTTTTATTAGCTGGGTGCATGACACTGGCCTATAATTTTGAGACTCCAGCTGATACGCATGAAATGAAAAGCACGAGCAAAAAAAAATATATTCTTCATAGTGATGAATGGCATTTTAAAACCATTTAATTGATTTCCACTTAATCACCTTGCAGATAAATATGGACATAAAATGCTGTGTATGTATGAGTGTGTATGCACATTCATAAGTATGTCATGTGCAAACGTAAAAAGAGTGTCAAGAGAAATTTACATTTGCATCCTGAAAGATGAAAAACTTGAAACAGTTGCCTTCAATATTGCAGCCCTGAAATTTATCAGGAACAAGATGCAGCAACAATAATACTCAATGTATATAAATCAACTAAAATCAATATTGAAGACAGCTGGGAATGAAAGTCTCTCTACAACTACATCACTTCACGACAAACAAATATTTAAAGGCAGTAAATATAGCCACTCTATACTGAACAAGTTTTTCTTTCCATTGGCTAAAAAAGAGACCCTTTTACATAATTTCTGCCTTCAGAGAATGCTACTGCACTCCTTCACAATATTCTTTTTTTCATTAAAAACAACAGAAGTGTGATTGTCTAGTCTTTTTTTCCTGATCTGATTTTCAGCTCCCTCCCCCCACTTTCCCCACGAAAATGAATTGTACAAAACCTTGCAACTTTCACAGGTAAGGAGTCCATAGTGATACCCAGACACTTTATCTCCACAGACTGGACACAGTTCTTCGAGATCTTCATCATAAGAGTAATTCACCATTTTAAATTGAGACACTGGCAGGGGGAAAAAAAAAGAAGAAAAATAGGGGGGGGGGAATTAAAATCTATGAGAATGCACACAAAACATTTGATGATGCATTATTTATTTCTTCACTGGGGAAACAATTCCAGGACGCATCCGTGGGTTTTTAATTTCCCTTTAAATCCTCAAAACAGGAAAACCCAATTTTGAAACAGATTTTTTTTTAGCAACCAAAAATATTATCTCCAAATTCAATCTAGCAGAATAAAACCTTGTTAAAATTACTCAGTTTTAAACACACAGCAAGCATTTTATTTTATTAATCCCCAAAACTGGGTTTCCAAAATTTTAAATTCTTACTTCACTCCTATCTGTGCTTACACATAAGTAGGCAGGGCTAGTTCAAGACACCCTACTCTGAAGTTTACATGCCTGAGGCTGCCGTCTTTCTTTTCTTCAAGTTTATTGTTCTTGGGATAAAGATCGCCTTTTATTTGCACTGTATTTAAAATGTAATTGCATTTAAAAATTAAAAATCAGACCACTATCTGGAAAAGTAACTTTTCTCTGTACTTTGAAAGTTCTGCTATAACAAGTCACCTTAAAAAATGTTTACCTAACCCCCACTTCAAATTCACAAATCTAGGAGTCTGAATGGGGGAAAATATCAACAGCTTACAACGTATTTTAGAAGATTGAAGGGGAGGGGAAAAAGAAAGCACTGTAATTTTTACATATCCATCAAACTTGTCTTTACAAAAAAAAAAAACAACATTCTTCTGCCTTAACTCTTTTTCCTTACTGTGTCAACCCACCAGAGAAAATACATAAACTATTCAAGGATTTACAGAGACCCTTTGGATTTCTCTTGCAAACTTCTTCAAATGCTGGTAACTAAAAACAAAGAATAAAGTTTTACGGCAACCTTCCTTCCTTCCTTCCTTCCTTCCTTCCTTCCTTCCTTCCTTCCTTCCTTCCTTCCGACTGGGGAACACAGTTCTTTTACTTGAGAATTGAGACTTGAGAGAAAACTCTTGGCGCGATGCTAAAAATTAATTCAACGGATTGGAAAGACCCAACTGATTTCAGAGCGAGAGCCTCATGAAAGAATCTGATTCCTGTCGGGGGGACCGAGGGGATCGGTGTCCCACCGACTCAACCAGGAAGATCTGCTAGTTTGAGTTCCCCACTCTCTCGCTTCTCCTCGCCCTCCCGGACTATTCTAAGGAGGAAAGTGGGCTGGTCTCTTGAAGAGAAGAAGAGATCGCTCGCCCGTGGGAATTTAGGCGAGTCTTCTTCTGCTAGCCTAGGCGGAGAAACAGGTTATGCTGGGCCGGAGTCGGAGGAGCGAGCCAGATTCAAGGGAGGTCAGATGTAGCCAAGGTAAGTAACTGGGGCCAGACAGGGGCAGAGAAGGGTCTTCTTCACCCCACCACTCCGGAGAAACCTCGCCAGCTGCTGACCTACCGTTTCTTCCCATCTACAACTCCACCTCGTTTTCCACCGATTTGCTCCATCGAGGAAGCGATCCTTCCCCAGGTGACCAGAATCCCAGGAAAGAATGATCCTGAATGTCTACGGGGAAGGGGGTGGGGGTAGTGGAATGGGTGGGAGGGAACGGAGAGGAGAGGGGAGAAATGACCTAAGTCTTCCCTTACTCCTCCATTGGGTGGGAGCTTCCATTCAAGCCAAAGGCTTCCATAGTTGGTCAAAACTTTCTCAGAACCAGCCGAAAGGGAGCTTCGGAGGAGGAGGAGAAGTTGGAGGAAGAGTATCGAAGCGTTTTCAAACCGAGGGGGTACAAAATGGAAGATGAAAGGGAGAGAGAGAGAGAGAGAGAGAGAGAGAGAGAGAGGGAGGGAAGGAGGGGGGGGAGAGAGAGAGACAGAGAGAGAGAGAGACAGAGAGAGACAGAGAGAGAGGGAGGGAGGGAAGGAGGGGGAGAGAGAGAGAGAGACAGAGAGAGAGGGAGGGAGGGAGGGAGGAAGGGAGAGGTGGCAGTGTGGTGAGGGAGGGGTGGGAACTTCCGGGAAGACTTTTGGCCAAGGTTAGAAGAAGAAGCTACAACCTGAACCCGGATCCCTCGCCCCTCTCTCCGCCGAAGCTTCGAGAAATGGGAACGTGGGGCGTAATTTCAAAGGTGCGAGGAAATCTACGGAATCGTTGCCCCCCCAAAGCCCTTTCCAGAACTTTCAAGCCCCCCCCCCCGCAGGGAGACCATTGACCTAACCTGCCTGCTATTGGAGCCACTGACTGGCGGGGTTTTTTTGGGGGGGGGGGCATTTTAAGTAGGACCTAGGAAAGACGCCGAGATCTTCCCCTTTAATAGACAGAAAGTCTTTCCAAGTCTTTCTTCTTTCTCTTTTAGACGGAGCAGCGCGCAACCCCAAATTGTTCGGTACCCCCCAAATTGTACTTAGCAGTCAAGGTGCGGTTGGATGGGTAGCAACGGCCCAGATTTGGTTTCGGATCTATTTAGAAAAAAAAAAAGAGAATATTGGCCGATTTGTAACTGGAACTGAGGTAGTTTTGGATGTCGACTAGAAACGCCCGAGGCCGGTTCCCAGAGAGGCTTCCCCTCGAGGAGATGAAGGGCTGGAGCCAAAAAAGAACCGAAAACCTCATCTCCAAATCGCTCCATTTGAGGGGAAGCCACGAAGGGGAGAAAACGCCTTTAAGAGGCGCGTTTCGGAATCGAAAAACTCCCCGCTGGCCGCCGAGAGCGCACGAATCCCCCAGGACAGCCCCGCGCCGCCTTCTCTGGAGTCTCCGAAACGGGAGAAAAGGCTGAATGGAGGGATGGAGGGACAGATGTGGGCAGAAGCGGCGAAGGGACCGCCTCGAACCGAGAGGCCGAGGGCTTTGGCCTCTCCGTCCGGGAAGGATGAGCGCCTCCAATTCTGTTTGCTCCGTCCTCTAAGGCCGTCCTGAGCTGATGGACAGACAGCGCCTCAAGCAGGAAGAAGTTGAGTTTTAGGAAGTTTAAGGAAGTTTAAGGAAGAAGCTTTTAGCCGACGGGGGTTTTCCCGGCAGAGCCGTCAAAACCTTAGCAGTTAGCAGTTAGACTTATCTACCGCTTCATAGGGCTTTCAGCCCTCTCTAAGCGGTTTACAGAGTCAGCATATCGCCCCCACAATCCGGGTCCTCAT